TGGTTTTAAGGCCGGTGTCACGAAATATATTCGCCCCCAGAATAAAATCAGAATTCTAAACCATGTGAATGTTGTAATATCAGTCAATCGGGTGGGAAAACAGCCCAATCCTCGCTCTTTAAAGGACTATGTCAATCATTTTGCAAGTTGAAATGACTTCAATACATCATGTTCATTGGACATGATTTCTAGTTTAAATATGTCAGTGTTAGGTTTGTATTTACAGTACAACTTTCGTTTACACATCTACACCGTGATGATCTTTGACTTCGGCGGGCGTCTACATGTCACAGTCTTAGGAAAAGGACGGACGTCGTGTGCGATCAGGCACTGTACTAGGTGGGGTCTCATCTTTGCAAGGTCGTATCTGCAGGAGTGCAAGCTGTTACCTAGGGAAAGTTCAACTGCATTAGCAATGGCAAAGATGCCACAGTCTGAACCATTTGTCTGCAACTGGCAAGGAAGAAGTTCAACTGTAAGGTTACCACTACTGTCACGTATATTTTGGAAGATCTGCTTCAACTTTTTATTGATGTGGTCGCTAACAGCTCTCTTCGTGCTGTCAGAATACATCACGCCACGATCGTTGCTTGATACCGTCACCCAGCGGTCTCTGTCATGGAGGATCTGCACGGTGTCGCGATGGATGGGCTTAAATTCTGTCTGTGCGAGAAGAGACGACTGGTTCGTTAGCCCGGTGCTGGATGTCACAAGTTTAGATGCAGCGTCAATGACTCGGTCATTTACCCACTGCCCGGACTCAATGTCATCTATGTCTGACAATCGTAAGTTTAAGTCCTTCACCCAGAACGTATCTGCAGAGTCCTTCTCAGCTGTAACGTCTGTAGCAGCGTCATCAGTTGTAACGGGGACTCTGTCGCCTTCGGCAGTAGCATCTGTAGTGAGCGGATCATGCCATACCTTATGGTGAGTGGCGTTGTAGCGTGACTTGAGGACTTTCTCGCCGTTTCTAAGTAGATACAACCCCTTCCCAAGGGACTCGTGAATGACGTACGGGCCGAAGTACCGGGGAGCGAGCTTGTCTCCCATCCTTGTGTCTCGTCTCCTGTTGATGATGGTGACTCTTTGCCCGACCTGTAACACAAAGAAACTGTCAGCAGCACTGATTTCTAATAACCTAATATCATAAGGATATATCGGCATTCAAAAAGAATTATTGCTTTCTTAAGAAAGTAATTATTCTAAAATAACGCAGTCCCATACTTGTTTTGTTACTTTCTATTCTTTCCCAATCGCTGTTTAACAGTAATCCTTCCCTCTATATATGTTGCCATGTTAATTTAACAGTTTGTAACCATTAGTTTTACACACGCTATGCTTTCTCCTAAGCTGCTACTAAGTATAACTAAAACAGATGAGTATTTTGATATAGAGCTTAAAAAATCCTACCTGGAAAACGGGCTAGCTGTGTTTAAGATCGTATCGCCTCTTCTGTTTTGACTGCGCCTTCTCGGTGTTGTCTCTAGCTGTTGCACGGCTGCAGGGCATCACGTCAGCAAGTTTCTTCATGCGGTCAGCGACGGCTTCGACGTCAACATCCCAGACAGCTTGGTCATCCTTCGCTTCTTCAAGGTCTGGGGGTGATACGGGGACGTCATGGCTTGGTCAGTAGCTATTTTTTTCACAAGAAAATTGCAAAATTCCCTTCATTGGTCGTGCAGGAGTACTTGACTGGCCCCGTATCTGTATACTAGCTGGATCAGAAACTGATGAATGCTGATGGCTGTCTTGTCTGTCTTGCAACTTCCACCCATCTGGTAAGGTACTCGGTGGCAACGATGATATACCTGAACCCATCTACATTTTCTTTAAGTGGTCCAGTAAGGTCAATACCCCATCGATGAAAAAGTTCCTTAACAGGGACAGGGTGTAAGCTTGCCACTTTGGGTCTGCTGTTGGCGTTCGCTTTCAGGCAAGCAGGGCAACGCTTACAGAACTCACGGACGTCATTACTCATACTGCGCCACCAGTACCGCTCGGTGACCTTGGCAATGGTTGTATTCTGACCGAAGTGACAACCACCGACAATGCTGCCGTGGAGAGTCTCTATGATCTTCATCTTCTCATCTTCACTAACGGCGACCTTCTGCTTCTCCACTGATACCATTTTCAAATCGTAGCCTGTATTAAGGAATATATTTTAGATCTTAAATCAGAGTATAACGGACAGCCTGAGCTGGTGGCGCGCGTGGATATGTTGACAGTTTTGACGTAGTTAGTGTTAAAACCGAATGTTTGCGAGGATTAATAAGATTTCTGAATTCAGTTACAACAGTAACCGTACATGTATTTGTTACATTAAGTCATTTCATTCAAATTTGTTTGGTATGAATATGAGGATGGAAGGTACAGTTACCAAATAAAATATGCTGAAATATCAATTCATTATGACCATATTTCATAATCTATTTTTTAAAGTAACCCTCCTTACATTAAAGATAACTATTTAAAGAATATAGTACTTAAAGACTAATAATCAGGGGGTAGACTTTATACCGAGGGGGGCGCGAAATATATCCGGGGGAGAATCTGTACCGGTATAAAATCTCCGGGGCTAGAATTTGTACGGGGGAGAGTTTATACCAGGACACCGGCATCAAATTATAAAGTTCTGCAATGATATCTTTAATGGAATAATTATTTGGTTTATAATTATCCTCCGTAGTAGAGTCCCCATTGCATGAAGAACCAGTGTTAGCGATAGAGCCGCACCCCCTGCTCAGGCTGCGCTGGGGGTGGGTCATATGGCGGGGGGTAGAGTAATCCCGGTCATCTGATCTACGGCTAGCAGTGCGGGAATCACATGTTCTGTAACTGTATGATTGTGACGTAACATCCCCCTCGCTTTCTCCGCCCGTATAACTGGACTGTGTGACAGTATGGGATGGCGCACGCTTAGGAATTCTATCCTGATTTGCACGAGTTTTGTCAGTTCGTCTATCATAGTGGCTAGAAGATGACTGGTGTGTATTTCTGTGCCTACTGCGATGCGATGTCCGTGATTCACGATCTACCCTATGGTGTACGTGGTAGGGAGGGAATCTATGAGATTCTCGATCTCTTTTTATGACTCACCTACTGTCCTCATAATAATCTGATTCAGCTTGACTCTGTGCGTGTCTGCTGTATGAGGATGCCCTGTCATATTCAGCCTTAGATCTCTTTTGAATCTCGTGACCAGGCCTATGTTTGGCCATGCCGGGGTTGTGCGACGGATTCTTTTAGATATGAGATCTCATGAGACATTGATTGAATTGGTTATTTTTTCCGTGAACTCATTTAAGTTAAAGGGGGAGCGTGGCATAGAGCGGAGATCGGTTGCTTCTTCCAAGCCTACATTATCCACCTTACCAGCCGCTTCCGGATGTACGTGACAGGTTACATTAAAACCTGAAAGGTACATCGGTTCCTTAACTATTGGGAGAGTGGGATGAGCTTCGAGATCTCTTCTCCTCAGAAGGCGAGACGGCGTCCCCACGCGACTCTCGCTTGTTACCCACGTGATTATCCTTAGGTGTCACAACGGACTTAATCACTTTCTTACATGAAGCAGATGAATATTTTGCTGACGCTCTAGTGTTCTTTTTATAATCAGGGTCATGGAGCTTCCGGATGTACGTGACTGGTTACATTAAAAACTGAAAGGTACATCGGTTCCTTAACTATTGGGAGAGTGGGATGAGCTTCGAGATCTCTTCTCCTCAGAAGGCGAGACGGCGTCCCCACGCGACTCTCGCTTGTTACCCACGTGATTATCCTTAGGTGTCACAACGGACTTAATCACTTTCTTACATGAAGCAGATGAATATTTTGCTGACGCTCTAGTGTTCTTTTTATAATCAGGGTCATTGAGCTTCCGGATGTACGTGACTGGCTACGTTAAAACCCGAAAGGTACATCGGTTCCTTAACTATATTGGGAGAGTAGGATGAGCGACGAGATCCCTCCTCCTCAGGAGAGACGGCGTCCCCACGCGACACTCGTTTGTCACCCACGTGATTCTCTTTGATAGATGTCACAACGGACTGAACCACTTTGCTGACGCTCTCCTATTCTTTTTATAGTCAGGGTTATTGAGCCATGCCCAAGAAAGTTTTCCAAACTTCTCCTTGGACAAAGGTTTGCAATTACTGCACCATGATATTGTGTGCAAGTGCTTTTTGCACGATATGCACCTAGGATGAGGGTCACCAGTGATTTGATGTTGCCCACAAGCTGAACAGACGGGTGTCCTCATCCCACAACACTTTTTCTAACTAACTACTTACTAGAGACTTCTGACTTCTTATACCCCCTTGTTCTCTGCTTGTAGAACTGCTCGCTGCTTGTCTTTAGTGATGATCTAGTGTGGCTTGTAAGTGTGGAACAGCAATCACGTGTACAGATGTATGCAACAACAAAAATTCCTTGTTGTCATCTGGACACAGGAAAGAAGTGAGGTGATTCCCGCCTTGTGCATACGCAGTGGCGCCCCTGGCGAGGGATAGGGTTTCCCGCACAACTATTAGATACGTTGGCAGTGAAGACGTCTGTTGAAAATTTATAAAAAGTTTGTAGTGTGGTTCTCAGCATAAACAGGAATTTATGGCTATGATGTAATAGAGATAGGGTATTCACAAGAATGATGTGTTTCACACAGTGATCTTAGCATACAGTTGTTGTAAGAGTATGCTTCTTAGAGTGGTCTTAGCGATACTGATGTCGTAAGTGTATGTTTCTCTGGGTGATCTTAGCATGCAACTGTTGTATGTGTATGTTTCACAGTGATCTTAGCATACAGCTGTCCTTTGTGTATGTTTCACAGTAGTCTTAGCGATAGTGCTGTTGTTAGAGTATGTTTCACAGAGTGATCTTAGCGATACAACTGTTGTGTGTAAATGTTATGACAAGTCTGTCATGACACAAAGTTGTCTTCGTGAAAAGGGACCCAGACCAGGAGAAAAGTGTAATTCCATCCTTTAAGAAAAGACGCTACTCCATTGCAAGTTGATGTCATTTATTTACTATTTGAGCTATAATCAACAAATATATACATCAGTATTATGAGAAGATACATGAGACAGTATAGTCTGTACATAACTTATGGCATTATCTACACAGTAGAACTAGAACAAAGAACCCTATGTACTGGTACGTGACTACAGTGGTACATATCACGTCATCACCTCCCTTGGCACATTTCAGTGTAGAATACAGACAGTAGTGGACAGCCACTCAACTTGCTGTCAATGCTGAGCAGTCTGGATATAGACGATCATGAAGCAAAGATGACAAACAGGAGACAGTAAAGGCTGCTACTCCGTCTCCATCACAAGGAAACCTTTGGCGATAATCTTGAGAAATTAATTGTGTTACACAATGAAATGTCATTAGTAAAATCCAAATGTTTTGAATTCTTTCATCTATAGGATTAGTCTGCAAATATTTCAAACCTATACCAATACACATATCTGGACATATCAAGACAGCCCATGAATTCGACACCTTGCTCATTCGGTACCTTACAGATGTGGACACCTTGTTAATACAGATACCTCAGAGATGCAGGACACATTTCTAATCCAGGTATCTCACAGATGTGGACACGTTGTTAATCCAGACATATCACTTTCATCATTTAAATAACACAGACATTTTATCACTCATCTGTTTCCTAATAATTCATTTGGAGAAATGATATTGTCTAGAAAAACATGCCTGCAGTGAATATGTTTGTTCTTAAAATATTGACTAGAAGATGTAATATTACATGATGCTCCCTATACAGATGTGAGTCCCCTGAGCCAGATATAGCTGTATAACCAGGCTTAGAGACAACTTCACTACTCAAAGACATCAGCCCATGCTGAAATGTCGTGCTTTGGTGCCCACATAGGCCACCATGAAAGCAGAGTGGCTGCAACAACTGTTCACAATAGACTACACAGTGCTGAAATTACAGGTTATAAACAATCCTGGTTGGTTTGCAAGCACAGAAAGCCTGTGGGCACTGTAGAATTAAATTAAACACATTCTCATAACATCACAGGAAAGTACAAGCCACACGCTCCTGAAGTACGGAATGTTTTGCTGTGTTGTAATGCATCATCAACCACAAAAATCAAAATAATAAGGTGAATTCCTGCTTCAAATAATGACTATAGTATATTTCTGCCTCAAATAATGAATGTAGTGAATTCTTGCCACAAGTAAAATGAGTGAGTGAGTATATTTTTGCGCCGCTTTTAGCAATATTCCAGCAATATCATGGTTGGGGGACACCAGAAATGGGCTTCACACATTGTACCCATGTCAGGAATTGAACCAGGGTCTTCGGCGTGACGAGCAAACGCTTTAAGCACTAGGCTACCAGACCGCCCCTCAAGTAAAATGAATATGAATATTTTGGTACAGTTGCAAAGTTAAGGACATAATTATGCTTCAATGGTTGACTGCCAAATGTAGCAAATACTAAATGGTCAAACATGATATGGAACTTACAGATGAACAGAAGATGATTTCAGACGATTAGACTGCAATTTACATACAGTGTCTCATCTATTTTGATCATAATTTGTTGGTGAACATTTGTTTATAGGCATATGAAAGCATCACAGTGGTGAACGTCTTTCTTGGGAACATGAATTCATGCCAACATGATAACCAATACTACCCAGTAATCACTGCCACAGAACCTGATAACCAAGGTGTTAGAGTTGAACAATATCACCAATACTCCCAAAATGATGACTACCAACAAAATGTTATACTTAAAGTGTACACTGTGGAATGATATCACATGGTCACCACTGTGATAACTGACCTTGACTGATAACACTGAGATAACTGGCAGATATCACATGGTCACCCCTGATAACACTCTGTGATAACTGATACTACATTGTCACCACTGATAACACTGCAATAACTAACAGACATAAGATGATTATTCACTATGATAACAGACTGATATCTTCTTTGTCCGTTATTTCTATTGCTTGGTACATAGCACTGAGAGTGTTGCGTAGGAAGAGCACTAGGTTCAGAACAGGCTGCTACTGAGGGAAACACATGTACTACAGTCAAGATGAATGCTCACCCAGTTCTTCCACTATCCACCAGCTCAGTCTGTTCAGCATCCTCGCACAAGTACTTCAGTCAATACTTAATCATACATATCAGTACTAAAATAATTACACAAATATCTATCTTCAAATTAAATCTTGATCGTGTCTATAGATATGACCTGATATACATGGATGAAAATAAATTAACACAAACAAATATATTTTCGCAAAATATTGCACTTGTCACTTTCTTCAAAATAATCACAATGCCATGCAGTATATACAAATGTATGGTTTATACACAGGTTATATACACACAGAGTGATGGCAACATGCAGCCAAGGCTGAATACTTCCAGTACATCAGGAACAAGAAAGTGGTGTCTAATTCCGTTGCCTGAAGACCTTGTGACCGAATCTGTAACTGTGGTGCTGGTTCAGAATACACATCAATGATCTGTTACATGGCTTTGGTGCTTCCTAGCACAGGACAGGCTTGTAATGGTGAGTGAGGGAATGTCTCTACACTGTAGCCTGATAATTCTAATGTTCGGACCCAGACCCCACAATGTGTTGGCTGCATGTATCCAATGTTTGAATGATGCAATTGTTGACATTTAACTTGTCTGTGTAGTTTCATCAATCAGTTACAACAACATGTTACTAAGAGAGGCAGAGTGTCACACCCATTCACCTCACTGTCCATACAAGGCCAGGCTGATGATTAAGGAGCAAATTCATTGTAGATTACAAGATGAGCATTTTGATTAAAATAGTTATTTGCATGTAAATACATTCTTGCAAACATTATATTATGAACTTCCATACTCACTGTAATGAGCTATATAAACAGTGATCTAAATTTGTCAGAGATTGAGTGGTGGTAGACAATTAGTTCAAATGTCAATGAAACAAACGATAATAGTTCCTAGGCCATTAAATACGCATTCTACACTGCTGTTTTCAACAAATCTGTCATATAAACAAGAAAATACAGACTGTCATGTCAGTTGTCGGTCTAAGGAGGCACGTTGAAAAAGATGACGTATAAATTGGTCTAGAAGTTGGCGAGGGAGCAGGGTACTTAATATGGTAAATACGGTACCTTAATCATTCAAACTATGGCACCCTTTAGGTCCCCGACTTATTTTCCATCAACTGCACCCAGTACAATTTCATTCACAGAGGAGGCCATTTCACAAAGGTTAAAATTAAAGACACGAGTGACTGAAGCTTGATAGGTTTAAAGAAGAATCAAACAAGACAAATGTTCAACTAAGTCAACATGCTACATCATTTGTTCAAATACCTTATTAATATAAAAAACAGGAAATGGATGTGGTCAGGTAGAAAAACATCAAAGTGATATGCAAAGCATTGAAGAAAATGAAAGAACTTAGTGTTGCAACAAACCAACCCACTATCACATGTTGGACAATGTATGAGAAAACTTTCCTATCACTGGACAAACATGATATATAGACTCCCTACACATGATGGCCTGTTCCTTCACAGGGATTCAGTATAACTATCTGTTGTTTCTCATTGGAATTTAACACAATTATCTGTTGTTTCTCATTGGAATTTAACACAATTATCTGTTGTTTCTCATTGGAATTTAACACAATTATCGGTTGTTTCTCATTGGAATTTAACACAATTATCGGTTGTTTCTCATTGGAATTTAACACAATTATTGGTTGTTTCTTGAGGGGGATTCTGCACAATTATCTGTTGTTTCTCATTGGAATTTAACACAATTATCTGTTGTGTCTCAAGGGGGATTCAGCACAATTATCTGTTGTATCTCATTGGAATTTAACACAATTATCTGTTGTGTCTCAAGGGGGATTCAGCACAATTATCTGTTGTATCTCATTGGAATTTAACACAATTATCTGTTGTGTCTCAAGGGGGATTCAGCACAATTATCTGTTGTATCTCATTGGAATTTAACACAATTATCTGTTGTGTCTCAAGGGGGATTCAGCACAATTATCTGTTCTCATAGCTTGGATTGCAACACACAATGTTCCTTATCACACAGCGCTGCTTCAGACATAAACATTTAGCGTTAACTAGCTTCAAGCTGTATCCCATGCAATGTAAGAAATGAAGGGAGCTCCTGGGGTCAATGAGGACTTGGGTTGTAGTACTTGAAGCAAATGATAACAGTTATTACACATAACACCAGAACTATAACAAGGAAGGACCCTTGACTTTATCTGGAAGTTCGAGCAGTGGCTGAGCAAATGAGAAACAAAATGAGGAATATGTTGATGAGTTGACCCAGGGACCACACATCGGTGTATGGTCTCTGGGTGATCCAACTGAAGTCACGTTAACACACGACAGATGAGTCGTGGAGATATTAATAATAGTCCATTTACATAGCACTGTACTCCATGCATAAGATTGTTCGAAGCGCATAGACCTTATCACCCCCATCAATAGATCAGTGTGCACTCGATATTCATTCTGAGCTCCCTGGGGAGTATACAACCAATACACTTCAATTATTGATGCTCAACAACCTAATACTTTACCTGATAAGATTGGAGAGAAAAAGCCATCTACTTATGTACATTCATAATCACAACCGAACAAAACAATAACTCCAATCTTATACTTAGAACCTGAAATCATTCTTCAATTCTATTAAGTTTCATGTCACACATATTGTAATTGTCTTAAGAGAGTATCAATAGTCTATTGACATCGAGCATTTGCTTCAATAAATACTGTACACAGGTGTGGCACACTGAAGCCTGTAGGATTCTAAGGAGGCCATGAAGTGGCGGTGTGACAGACAATAAACAGGTCTAGGTGGCATGGCTGTTGGTGTCTAGTGGTCTCGACATCAACTGGTGGGGAACTCCATTGACGGCGAGTGTCGGACTTGGCGGTAGCATGGCTTACAGACGGGGACGGGCCGGCGCGAGTAGTGTCCGGGGAGCGGGATGTAGCGGGCGATGCAGCGCGTGCAGAACACCTCGCCACACTTCCAGCAGTGAAACTGAAATCGGAACAATATACACATATATACAATGTACACAGAGGACCAAGCAGTTTTCTAAAACCATGATATATCTCACCATTGGGCCAGATGTTTAGGAAGAAAGCTGGTTGCTAAGTGATCTGCATTTTACAACAAATGTGATCCTGTGGAAATATTGACTGTCTCTGTGTCAATGGAACAATATTTAGAAACCATTTTCCCATCTCAAGTAGATTCCAATGTTCCAATCATATATCCACACAATATATCTGCATGATATATATAAATAATTTATCTACAAAATATATCTGCGAGAGAAAGATGATTCAATGTCTGACAAACCATTGCTTGAAGATTTCCCTAATGTCACAAAGAACTATTGAAAAAACCCTCTTACTCTTATTGACATTTTCCAAATACCAGATAAAGTAAACGAATACAGCAAGGAAAGAGGCCCGGGTTCACTTCCCTAATAGGTACAATGTGTGAATCCATTTCTGGTGTCCCCTGCTGTGATATTGCAGGAATATTGCAGGTGACAAAAGACAAACTCGCTCATTTGATTTGTTTGTTTGTCTGTTTGCTTGTTGTTTAACACCGCACTCAGCAATATTCCAGCTTTATGACGGCGGTCTGTAAATATTCAAGTCTGGACCAGACAATCCAGTGATTGATGTCATGAGCACTGATCCACGCAATCCACATGCCTAAAAAAAGGCAGCGAGCCTGACCACAGGATTCCGTTAGTCACCTCTTACAACAAGCATAGTCACCTCTTACAACAAGCATAGTCACCTCTTACAACAAGCATAGTCACCTTTCAACATGCATAATCGCTCACTCGTTTGAACCAAGTATGAGTCAGGCATATATATATATATATGTATATCAGCAATATTATAGCAATATCCAAGGAGCCTGAAAGTAATCCAATCAGGACAAGAAAAACAGTGGTTGGAAACCCGAGCAATGATGACACCCAATCAGCTGCTATGTTATACCCTGTAACAAGTCCATGTCATTGCTAGTCAGCTCGGAAGCCAAGCACTGGGATCTACTCTATTCCTTACTCTGCTGGCCAAGATTGACACAGTGCTCGCTTCAAGCTGGATCCATTTATTCATGCATTTTAATAAAACAATGGTTGTATCACTAAGATTCAAATAAAGGTACACAAAAGGTATCATCAAATCCTATGATGTAATTTTGGGGATTAATGCAGATTTTAAAAAAAATTTAAAATCATGGCATGTCAACAATTACAAAGGAATTTCAGTTGAAAGTTAGAAATATGCAATACTGTATTAATCGGCAACAGTTAATTGTTAACACACAGTTGATTGTTAATGTTCAGTCTTCAGAAGAGGACAGCAGTTGTCTCCCTTACACAAGACACAAAGACACAGACAGTCCCATAGTTTCCAAAGTTCTATTCATATATAATCATGCATTAGTTTTTGAAAGGTGTGGAAGTTGAAGATATCTGCGTAATGTGCTGAAAATAAACCATCCAACAAATGAAAACTTGCATGTTTCCAAAGATTCTTGATGAAGATAATGTATGAAGTGACAGGTTATCTTTCAGCATTGTTCAAGCTACACAGTGTGATACTTGGCATGTACAGTTGACAGTGTGTTATTTGGCATGTACAGGACACAGTGTGTTACTTGGCATGTACAGTTGACAGTGTGTTACTTGGCATGTACAGGACACAGTGTTACTTGGCATGTACAGTTGACAGTGTGTTACTTGGCATGTACAGTTGACAGTGTGTTACTTGGCATGTACAGTTGACAGTGTGTTACTTGGTATGTACAGGACACAGTGTGTTACTTGGCATGTACAGTTGACAGTGTGTTATTTGGCATGTACAGGACACAGTGTGTTACTTGGCATGTACAGTTGACAGTGTGTTACTTGGCATATACAGGACACAGTGTGTTACTTGGCATGTACAGTTGACAGTGTGTTATTTGGCATGTACAGGACACAGTGTGTTACTTGGCATGTACAGTTGACAGTGTGTTATTTGGCATGTACAGGACACAGTGTGTTACTTGGCATGTACAGTTGACAGTGTGTTATTTGGCATGTACAGGACACAGTGTGTTACTTGGCATGTACAGTTGACAGTGTGTTACTTGGTATGTACAGGACACAGTGTGTTACTTGGTATGTACAGGACACAGTGTGTTACTTGGTATGTACAGGACACAATGTGGTACTTGGCATGTACAGGACACAGTGTGGTACTTGGCATGTACAGGACAGTGTGTTACTTGGTATGTACAGGACACAGTATGTTACTTGGCATGTACAGGACACAATGTGGTACTTGACATGTACAGGACACAATGTGGTACTTGACATGTACAGGACACAGTGTGTTACTTGGCATGTACAGGACAGTGTGTTACTTGGCATGTACAGGACACAGTGTGTTACTTGGTATGTACAGGACACAGTGTGGTACTTGGCATGTACAGGACACAATGTGGTACTTGACATGTACAGGACACAATGTGGTACTTGACATGTACAGGACACAATGTGGTACATGACATGTACAGGACAGTGTGTTACTTGGTATGTACAGGACACAATGTGTTACTTGGAATGTACAGGAAACAATGTGGTACTTGACATGTAAAGGACACAATGTGGTACTTGACATGTACAGGACACAATGTGTTACTTGGCATGTACAGGACACAATGTGGTACTTTGCATGTACAGGACAGTGTGTTACTTGGCATGTACAGGACACAATGTGGTACTTTGCATGTACGGGACAGTGTATTACTTGGCATGTACAGGACACAATGTGGTACTTGACATGTACACGACACAATGTGGTACTTGGTATGTACAGGACACAGAGTGATACTTGGCATGTACAGGGCACAATGTGTTACTTGGTATGTACAGGACACAGAGTGTTACTTAGTATGTACAGGACACAGTGTGTTACTTTGTATGTACAGGACACAGTATGAATATTGGTATGTACAGGACAGTGTGTTACTTGGTATGTACAGGACACAGTGTGTTACTTGGTATGTACAGGACACAGAGTGTTACTTAGTATGTACAGGACACAGTGTGATTATTGGTATGTACAGGACACAGTGTGTTACTTGGTATGTACAGGACACAGTGTGTTACTTGGTATGTACAGGACACAGTGTGATTATTGGTATGTACAGGACACAGTGTGTTACTTGGTATGTACAGGACACAGTGTGTTACTTTGTATGTACAGGACACAGAGTGTTACTTAGTATGTACAGGACACAGTATGTTACTTGGTATGTACAGGACACAGTGTGTTACTTTGTATGTACAGGACACAGAATGTTATTTAGTATGTACAGGACACAGTGTGTTACTTGGTATGTACAGGACACAGTGGGCTACTTGGTATGTACAGGACACGGTGTGTTACTTAGTATGTACAGGACACAGAGTGTTACTTAGTATGTACAGGACACAGTGTGTTACTTGGTATGTACAGGACACAGTATGAATATTGGTATGTACAGGACAGTGTGTTACTTGGTATGTACAGGACACAGTGTGTTACTTGGTATGTACAGGACACAGAGTGTTACTTAGTATGTACAGGACACAGTGTGATTATTGGTATGTACAGGACACAGTGTGTTACTTGGTATGTACAGGACACAGTGTGTTACTTGGTATGTACAGGACACAGTGTGATTATTGGTATGTACAGGACACAGTGTGTTACTTGGTATGTACAGGACACAGTGTGTTACTTTGTATGTACAGGACACAGAGTGTTACTTAGTATGTACAGGACACAGTATGTTACTTGGTATGTACAGGACACAGTGTGTTACTTTGTATGTACAGGACACAGAGTGTTATTTAGTATGTACAGGACACAGTGTGTTACTTGGTATGTACAGGACACAGTGTGTTACTTAGTATGTACAGGACACAGTGTGTTACTTGGTATGTACAGGACACAGTATGAATATTGGTATGTACAGGACAGTGTGTTACTTGGTATGTACAGGACACAGTGTGTTACTTGGTATGTACAGGACACAGAGTGTTACTTAGTATGTACAGGACACAGTGTGATTATTGGTATGTACAGGACACAGTGTGTTACTTGGTATGTACAGGACACAGTGTGTTACTTGGTATGTACAGGACACAGTGTGATTATTGGTATGTACAGGACACAGTGTGTTACTTGGTATGTACAGGACACAGTGTGTTACTTTGTATGTACAGGACACAGAGTGTTACTTAGTATGTACAGGACACAGTATGTTACTTGGTATGTACAGGACACGGTGTGTTACTTAGTATGTACAGGACACAGAGTGTTACTTAGTATGTACAGGACACAGTGTGTTACTTGGTATGTACAGGATACAATGGGCTACTTGGTATGTACAGGACACAGTGTGTTACTTGGTATGTACAGGACAGTGTGCTACTTGGCATGTACAGGACACAATGTGGTACTTTGCATGTACGGGACAGTGTATTACTTGGCATGTACAGGACACAATGTGGTACTTGACATGTACACGACACAATGTGGTACTTGGTATGTACAGGACACAGAGTGATACCTGGCATGTACAGGGCACAATGTGTTACTTGGTATGTACAGGACACAGAGTGTTACTTAGTATGTACAGGACACAGTGTGTTACTTTGTATGTACAGGACACAGTATGAATATTGGTATGTACAGGACAGTGTGTTACTTGGTATGTACAGGATACAATGGGCTACTTGGTATGTACAGGACACAGTGTGTTACTTGGTATGTACAGGACACAGTGGGCTACTTGGTATGTACAGGACACAGTGTGTTACTTGGTATGTACAGGACACAGTGTGTTACTTGGTATGTACAGGACACAGTGGGCTACTTGGTATGTACAGGACACAGTGGGCTACTTGGTATGTACAGGACACAGTGTGTTTCTTGGTATGTACAGGATGTAGTACTCACCATCTTTTATTAGAGATAATGCAGTCACTCTGAGGTATTTGTAGGTGTTAGTATTAGTATCTTAAGCATGTGAAGAGCTCAGCTTTGAATGATGAATAATAGATGTGTGTGCAAGCATGAGGAGGTTGTGAAATGTTCAAAGGCATGAGTGAGTTAGTGAGTTAGTGAGTTAAAATTTAATGTTGCATCAGCATTATTTCAGCCATATGACATGACACAGTTTAATGACAACTGTTTGAACTGGATGTCTGTGACACAAGAATATGTGAGTGAGTGAGTGAGTTGGGTTTAACGCCGCTTTTAACAGTATTCCAGTTATATCACGGTGTGTCAGCTTAATGTGGGAGGAAAGCCCGAAGTGAAACAGGTCTCAGATGTTTACCACTTTGGTAAAACCCACGAGCACGGGTATGGTGCTGACAAACCTAGAAACATAATTCGGGTGAACCGGGATTCGAACCCACAATCATAGGTTTCTGGCGTGCCCAAGGAATGCAACTCTGCACAGCAAATCATGGCGCCTTAGACTACTGGGCCACCCGTGCCCCCCACTAGAATATTTGTTTTCCTAAACATTTAAGTCAAGAGATCAAAATATCAAACAAAACTAAAGTCCAGTAATGTCCACAAAGCCAGGAGGGTAAATGGTCACTTTTTGCCGCACCACGGTTGAAGGTCACCTACGCTGGGACAACAAGGACTTGCCCACCACCAGTAAGGACTAAAATCTCCAAAGAATATAACTTCACTAATGGATAAGACAGGCCTGACAATGTCCATTCAGTGAACCAGAAATCATACAGGATCAGAGAAAAATGAAAGAAAGCCATGAGACAACCCTGGATGACCCTGATGACCTATGCAAGGTTATCTTGTCTGAACTCCGGCAGCAGGTAGGAAAAACATACTGGTAATCTCGGTGGTAAATTGAAAATCCCTCATCCACAATACTTTCTGCATAGTTGGCGTAGTAACATGCATCCATTTTCATCCAATCAAATGTTTCATCAATCCTTTCAACATCTGTCAAGTTCCAAAGCTGTTGTGAAATCAATTATCGCATGCATGGACATGCCGTACTTTGACAATGTGTTTCTTTCAAATCAGTGGTGAAGAATTATTAAAATCATTCAAGAACCCCATACAATCAAATTTCACAAATGCATGCCTACCCGAGATGTTGAGCATGTCAGAAAGGATAGAAGATTGCAAAGTAAATTTCTGATGCACAAACGTGCAACGGGTCAATAAAAGTTGCAAAATGCTTATAAAAAAAGTTTCAAAGAAAATGATGACATACCTTTAGTGAAAATTCCTGCCCAGATCAAATCAAATTCAGGATTTAGTTAACCAAAAACGTAAGTGGATTCTATGTGGGACATACAATTATTGTACTGTATGAAACAAAGACTTTGAATATATTACCATCCTTTATGAATAGTGCTGATTAGAAGGTTAATAAAAGAGTGGATAACTAACAAGTGTTATTCGAATAATAACGATAATATAGGTAATAAATATGCATGTTACCAATAAAAACTGAAGAAAAGTTCATGCATATCATTCTGTGATACGTTGTACAAAAAGTGCTTTTCATTAAATGTAGAATCTCCGTCGAAGATAACTCAGTATACATTTGATGAGTAAAGAATTAACTGCTACTACTGAACACAAAGAATCATTGAATAGAGTACAATTTCTTTTCCTTGATTGGCTTATACTCCAGTTTTGAGGATTAGGATGTTATTTAACACAAAAACTAGAAAACACTGTGACATAATTAGTGCAAGGAAAATTGTTTTATGTCAATGTTCGAAATATTCTTAATCACCACTTCAGCAAGTTTCATGTGTTATTCAATTTAGGCTCAAGTTGAGTGAACAGTAAAATGAGTCTTGCCTTCTTGACATAGTGGTCAAAGGGGGTTGCACAGCTGCAGTTGTGGACATTGCGGAATGACCTCCACTCTACAGCCACGGTCTTCAGCTCCATCAGCAGTTGGTCAAGCGAGAGAGTCTCGGAACTCGGGGAGCGGTGGAGCAAACTGCTGTCCATAGCATACCCATCCTCAATACCCGATCGGGACATCTGGGAACTCGACTCGTCGAAGCCTGACTCCGAGTCACTCTTAACGTGGTTGCCAGACAGGTCAGCGTCTTTTGATTCGATGTCGTTGTGGTTGGCTTCAGCTATTTTCAGCGTCAACTCATCAATGTGGCCAGCAAGGAACCCATCCAGGGACTCCATTGACAGGAAGCCCTGAAGCTTGCGCTGAATGGTCTCATCAGATTTGCCCAGCAACTTGCAGATTTGGGTCACTCTCTGGAAACAAAAAGATTGTGAGCAAAATACAGGTCATGGGCTCTGATGCATGGCCAAGACATTGAAATGCAATGATTCTTCAGGTTGGCAAAAGCTGGAATGTGTTCAGGAAAAGCAATCTGGTACTACATGTGATGAAATATTAGCTCTCAATATGCCCGACCCTCTTCCTCTCAGAAGTGCCGGACAGTTATGAACATTTATTTTGGTTTATATGTGAATATCTTCAAAAGTTATACATCAGAACACCATTGTCACATGTAACCACAAAACCCAGGTATATGATACGATTATTTCCACACAGGAAAAATGATGATAACTACTCCGTACAGATGACAAATGTTAATGGGAAATTATGAAAGTTTCTCTGAACCACAACTAAGAAAAGAGTGCCATGGCACTGTAACTCACCTGGATATGGAGGCAACAGTTTACAAGAACAGTGACTGTCAGTATAGACATTTGAATGTTTTCTATATAAATATACTGTATTCTACTTGATAAGCGCCGGGGGCGCTCTCAAAATTAGAAATAGGGGGCTCTTATTAGAATATAATTTTGGTGAGGAAAAAAACAGAGTTGGACGATTGTAAATTTTGTAGTTTATGCTGACAGCCTAAAATGATACAAATGAAAAGTATGTGCGTATCATACATGACAGATATATTTTCAAGAATTTAATTGCCCATAATTAAGGGTACATATAACACACGAGTGCATATTATACACTAATAAATAAGTCTTGTGTACAACTAAAAACTAACATTTAATTCTATAGATTTGAACAAACTATGATATCATCAATTGAAGTAACATAGAGGGCAAACTTCAGCTTACTCACTCTGGCAAAATGGCTATTGTGGAGGTGATATTGAAAATCAGATTCAAATTTTGAAGAATTTTGCGGTGTCACCATTGGTGGGAACAAACAACCATTGGAAGTTTCTGCGTCATTGGTCAAGTGGTTTCTGAGGCGATGATGTTTTCAATATCAACACAGGACAAGCAGACCATGACATATGCTCACTTGACTTTCAGTCAGCAGAACTAAGAAAAATTGTGAATGACAAATATACATGTCCCACCTTCTCCAGTAGCCTAACATGGTCTTCCAGAGAGGAGCTGTGATCTTTGGCTGCACTCAGAATATCCTGCACATGTTCCCGGGGGTGGATCCCATTCTCAAACCGGTTGTACATGCCCTTCCAGAACCTGTAAGAGTAGAAGACCAAGTGGCTGGGTCAGACTGCTGCCATCCAGTGACCCCAGTCACCCTCTGATGCCTTGGTGTCCCTACAGAGGCAACCCTGGAGGGAAGTCTCTTGATGTCTCTACATTGTTTGTTTGTTTGTTTGTTTGTTTGTGTGTTTGTTTGTTTGACAACCCAGTGATTGATATCACAATACATGCAACTGGGATACAATGACATTGAATCAACCAAGTCACCAAGGTTGACCATCAGATCCATTAACTGCCTCTTGTCACAAGTATGGCAGGGGGACCAATATTCTTACCCTGGAACCCTGGGTGTGTGTGGATTTCTTTGTTCCATGGCCCTTGTCAAACAATTTCCACAAAGCTGAACGCATGTGTGACTAAAACCAGTGTTTTACTTCAGTCAGCAAAATTCAAGCCACGGGCATGTTATATATAAGATTTAAGATGTTCTGACAAGAACATGAAGACACAGAAGTCAACACATGAGTGGCTTATCTGTAAGATCAGGGTGTCCCCATTACTAATCCAACCAGCCACCAAGGACTTCCTGCTACTTACTTTATACACTGCGGCCGAGTGTTGGGGATTAGCACCGGGTGTGAAATCTCATACTCCTTCTTGAACAAAGGGTTAATGTATTCATTCATATGTTTGGCAAGGTAACCCCATAGTGAGTACGTCCGCTCGTTCAACCTGGAGAAATGAAATAAACAGTACAATATTAGAAAGTTGTCATGTTATATAAAAAAAACAAAGGGTGTTTATATTCAGCATAACAGCCAGACTCAAGTTGTCTTTTTCTATATTTTGCTATGAATAAATCGGGTTATATCTGTCTTTCTGTTACACACATTATCATACACACTGCAAGGATCACACTGACTGGATCTTATGATCTTCTCAAACGTCTGTAACAAGTGTTATATTTGGGATAACACTTTCTTAGCACAGTACAGATTTTAGTACATTTGTAACATTTGACCTCTTTCTAAATGGCATTGTGTGTTCATAGCTTTCACCCATGGGAGCCGTGCCAATTTACACCCATCAGAGGGGTACACAAAGTATGTGATCTAGACTACCAGTTGTCGGACAGAGATATATGATCTCAAGAAGGATCATATGATCCTCTCAAACATCATCCTGTGGAGACGGACTGTCGGTACTGAGACAGGATAGACCTCAAGAAGGATCATGTGATCCTTTGGAGACGGACTGACAGTATTGAGACAGTAAGGACCTCTCAGCCTACCTCAAGTCCAGCCTGTCCTTCTCACAGTTGCCGATGAAAGTCCCAAATTGACAGGAGTAGGCGTGGTCATGGATCGTGAGCAGGAACCTCTCATTGAACTGGAAAGCACATGGGAACTGTTGGGTCATCTGCCAGGTCCCTTCCAGGAACTGGGTGAAGATGGGGGACACTTCCTTCGCCTCCACGGTGTCCAGGAAGCCGCACCGGTCAGTGAACTTGTGCCCAAAAGAGAGCCACTCCTTCTCTATCAGTGCCTACAATAGGGAAACAAAGCCTCATATATCCTGCAATCATGATTACACTTCTCTATCAGCGCCTACAACAGAGAAACAAGGCTTGATATATCCTCAAATAATGTTCACACTTCTCTGTCAGTGGCTACAACAGAGAAACAAGGCCTCAAATATTGTCTAATCATGTTGACACTTCTCTATCAGTGCCTACAACAGAGAAACAAGGCCTGATATATCCTCAAATCATGTTCACACTTCTCTGTCAGTGGCTACAACAGAGAAACAAGGCCTCAGATATTGTCTTATCATGTTGACACTTCTCTGTCAGTGCCTACAACAGAGAAACAAGGCCTGATATATCCTCAAATCATGTTCACACTTCTCTGTCAGTAGCTACAAGAGAGAAACATATATCCTCTAATCATGGCCGACTCTTTACTATCAGTGGCAACAATAAAGAAATGAGGCCACATATATTCAATCATGGTTGAAACTCCCTATGGGCAGAGTTAGAACTAAACTTTACCAACCCACGTTTTAAAATAAAATGCCCTTGTAATGTTAAAACAATGGGGAAATTTGGAAACTTGCGGGCTAGTGTCACAAATTCGAGCCGTGCATATTGGTAATGTAATAAGAGAAATAAAGCCTCAAGTATTTCAAAATAATGGTCAAAACACCTCGACCTGAACCTATAGATCTGAAACTATGCCAAGTTTACCTGATATCCCTGTATGGTCCGGTAGTAAGGATCCAACATCAGACTAGCAAGACTAGAGGTCTGGGCTGTGCGGTCCCATCCATCAGAGCAGTGGATTAATACACTTGTGCCTTCGGTAATGGCCTGAAGTAGAGAAATACTTGAAGATAACAAGTCAATTAAAAGGTTACATGTCAATTACAAGTCATACAGGTTCCCTGTCTGTCCTAAATACATAATCAGGAATTGTTTGTCTAACGAAAAAAAGAGTCTTAAACTCTTTTTCAGTAAACAAAAAAATCCTGATTGTACTTGACTCATTAGGGTCATAGTTAGGCCTCTGTACAATCCAAGATAGAATCACAGGATGGACATCTGACCAACAAACACCTGGTGGTAAGGAACAGGACTCACATTAGCTATAACAAGATGGACATCTGACCAACAAACACCTGGTGGTAAGGAACAGGACTCACATTAGCTATAACAAGATGGACATCTGACCAACAAACACCTGGTGGTAAGGAACAGGACTCACATTAGCTATAACAAGATGGACATCTTGCCAACAAACACCTGGTGGTAAGGAACAGGACTCACATTAACTATAACAAGATGGACATCTGTCCAACAAAAACCTGGTGGTAAGGAACAGGACTCACATTAACTATAACAAGATGGACATCTGGCCAACAAACACCTGGTGGTAAGGAACAGGACTCACATTAGCTATAACAAGATGGACATCTGACCAACAAACACCTGGTGGTAAGGAACAGGACTCACATTAACTATAACAAGATGGACATCTGACCAACAAACACCTGGTGGTAAGGAACAGGACTCACATTAACTATAACAAGATGGACATCTGACCAACAAACACCTGGTGGTAAGGAACAGGACTCACATTAACTATAACAAGATGGACATCTGACCAACAAACACCTGGTGGTAAGGAACAGGACTCACATTAACTATAACAAGATGGACATCTGACCAACAAACACCTGGTGGTAAGGAACAGGACTCACATTAACTATAACAAGATGGACATCTGGCCAAGAAAACTTCTGGTGGTAAGGAACAGGACTCACGTTAGCTATACATTACAGGAGGGATGTTCGACAAACAAATACCTGGTGGTAAGGAACAGGACTCACATTAACTATAACAAGATGGACATCTGGCCAAGAAAACTTCTGGTGGTAAGGAACAGGACTCACGTTAGCTATACATTACAGGAGGGATGTTTGACAAACAAATACCTGGTGGTAAGGAACAGTACTCACATTAGCTATGAAAGCCGATGTGTCGATCATTGCCTTGATGTGCTTCAACCAGTTACAGCTCTCCAGACCCGACAGGAAGGAGTTCATCGATGGGTTCTTCAGTTCACAGACTGAAACATCACATAGGTCACAGACTGAAACATCACACGCAGGTCACAGACTGAAGCATCACACACAGGACACAGACTGAAACATCATACAGGTCCCAGGCTGAAACATCACACATGGGTCACAGACTGAAACATCACACAGGTCACAGCACAGACTGAAACATCACACAGATCAGCTAGTGATCCGTGTACAGGTCTTCCTACTAGTACAGTGCCCTATTGTAGTTCCTTGTTGGAGACTTCAATCATGGAAACATATAACTTCATTCAGAGAAGTTTCAAATCACAAATGAAATAGATACATACTCAAATTACTAGTATCTGAAATATCTAAACATTAAAAAAATTTTAATTGCTTTGAAATTATCTAAAAGAGCAACAATAATTTCTCAAGTCATTCTAAAACACCAAACTGGACTGTGCATCTACTCACCATCTAACAACTTTTGTAGACTACTTCTCATTACATGGATATTTTCTATTCCTAAGAACTGGAATTTGATATTGGAATAAAAGTTTTCGTTTTCATATCCCTTCCCTGCAGCTTTGTTGGCCATTGCGTTGATCTGGAAATAGTAAAATAAAGTATGAAAGCAACTGAAGTGGAGTAAAATCTCTCCTGAGGCACATCCACTTGTTGTTAATACCCCGTTCACATGCACCTCTATACATATGTGTGTATATTTGCACACGCGTTTACTCATGTATGTATATTAGCACCAGGAGCAAATTTACATCATGTCTGGAGCAGGTGCAAATGTAAATGTAAATTGCAATGTATGTATATGTTGTGATGGGAATGTTTATGCCAATGTCTGGGGATGATCTAATTACTATATATCTTCTTTGAGTGGCATTTAGAAGTTGGAATGCTAACTAAGACAAAATTGTTATGGATGAGCAACTTCTTTATTACAATTGAGCGACGTTTCGGTGTAGATTCTAACACCGTTATCAAGCAAATGATGTACAAACTAGGTATGAGCATGATATATATACATAACAATAGATAGATGTTTATATAACCTTATCTGTTATATAAACATCTATCTATTGTTATGTATATATATCATTCTATGCTGCTGTAATGCTGTAAGCAATATTATGGACACAGGACAGTTTTCACATATTGTATTCATGTGGAGACTCAAACCTAGGGGGTCTTAGACTCTTAGGTGGGACAAAACAATGCTTCAACCTCCAGGCTACCCCACCACCCTTTCTTAGAGATAGCACAGACAGTAACATGGTGATGGCTTAAAAAGAAGACAGCACCAGATGTATGTTGAGCCCCTCTATACTGACCTTGGGCCTCGTGTCCACCACATACATGTACTTAGATTTAGGGTTGGCTCTGAGAATGGCCTGCAGCAACTGTTCATCCTCCACGCAGCGAGCGCTGAATCCAGATAGCGGCTGACTGCATCGAGTAATTCCAGCCTGAAACAACCCAGATTAAAGTGACTTTTCGTTATCACTGAATTGCACTCTGCCAACATAATGCTTGCTGATACATTAAGAAGAGGCACACCATCAATGTTAAATCGAAAATGAATGACATGTTAATGCTCTTATAGAAAGGCGGAATGGTCAAGATCTTGTTATGACATCAACTGTTTAAGGGAAAAGGTCCTAACATTATAAGTTGTTGCAGGATCATGAGGGGTACATGGGGTTTTATGTGTCCGGCGTTAGGTTTTATACCACAAGCTGGAGCTTGACCTCACAATCCATCAGGTCCCTGTCGCATAAATGTGTACTCACTCTTTCAGGAGGCGAGAGGTATGAAACCTAACAGGGGATGCATAAGACCCGGGGTGATCCTGCTACAACGATTATATATCTTATCGACATGTTTTAATATGATATGGTAAAATACTTCAAACAAATCAAAATTGACAGAAAACAGCTGTTCGATTAAGCTGAGGTTAACTTGCGCTATGTCACGTGAGCCATTGACTTTTTCTGCAGCTTTTGCTTTGAAGCGGGGTATAAGCAATTTATTCTGCCTCTCAGAAATTCACATGCAGCTTGGCTTGCTCGTGCCGGGGTGTAAGAGATTTATTCCCCCGCTGAGAAATTTATTCCCCAGTATTTTATCAAGATCACAAGGACCAATCAGATCTCAACCTTCTGGCATGGAAGTATGATAATCCATCTTATCACAGATTGAAAATCCTGTGTAAATGAAATAAAGACATCAAATTTCTCATGTTTAAAATGCTTGTTTCATAAGACTTTCTAATGGCATGTACGAATACAGCCATTGAAAGCGAAATAGTAACCATGAAATAATTTTCAGTTCAAAGCATCAATCACTGCCACTTTGATCACTCTGATACAAGACAAGGCATAAGGTTTATTTCATATCAACATAAAGGGGAATTAATTACTATCTGGATTAAACCAATAATATTTGTTCTGTGTGAGCACAGTTTTAGTGGTGAATAGCGGCATTTCATGAACCAGTTATGTGACAAAGATACAGTCTTTGGGCATAATGTTTAGCATCGAAGCCCCATCCTTAATGCTCACCATCGTCTCTCATGTGTTCATATTTAATAGCTCCGTTCCTATCCACAAGTTTGATCACAGACTGGAATAGGATTACTCCAAGTTGAACACTTAGATGCTATTAAATATGCATTCTGGCAAGTTTTAATCCACTCAGGATTTTATGTTGCATATTGCCCTCAGAAAATGTCTGCTTTCCTGACTCTTAAATCAGAGATATTATCCCATGAGCTGTGCAACCTTTTCAATGGATCAATATTTGGTGCAGGAGATTTTTGAAAGGTTTTGAATATGGCATATATAGTTACCTAGCTCTACTGTGTTTGGTGTGATGCTTTCTACAGAATGGTAGTGTGGTTTGAATGTGGCATATATAGTTACCTAGCTCTACTGTGTCTGGTGTGATGCATTCTACAGAATGGTGGTGTGGTTTGAATGTGGCATATATAGTTACCTAGCTCTACTGTGTCTGGTGTGATGCATTCTACAGAATGGTAGTGTGGTTTGAATGTGGCATATATAGTTACCTAGCTCTACTGTGTCTGGTGTGATGCATTCTACAGAATGGTGGTGTGGTTTGAATGTGGCATATATAGTTGCCTATCTCTACTGTGTCTGGTGTGATGCATTCTACAGAATGTTGTATGGTTTGAATGTGGCATATATAGTTGCCTATCTCTACTGTGTCTGGTGTGATGCATTCTACAGAATGGTGGTGTGGTTTGAATGTGGCATATATAGTTACCTAGGCATACTGTGTCTGGTGTGATGCATTCTACAGAATGGTGGTGTGGTTTGGATGTGGCATATATAGTTACCTAGCTCTACTGTGTCTGGTGTGATGCATTCTACAGAATGGTGGAGTGGTTTGAATGTGGCATATATAGTTGCCTATCTCTACTGTGTCTGGCGTGATGCATTCTACAGAATGTTGTATGGTTTGAATGTGGCATATATAGTTGCCTATCTCTACTGTGTCTGGCGTGATGCATTCTACAGAATGTTGTATGGTTTGAATGTGTCAGTTTGCAGCTGTGAGTGGGTCCTTCCATCCGCTTTCCTTGTCCATTTAATACTAAGCAATACATCCATTTCGGACAGCCAGTATTCATCCATCCAGGATATAGTCCAGGCTATTATTACCATAGTTGGGGAGAGACGGGCATTAATTAACTTTTCAGTAATTGTCAAGTTCCTGTCATACCTGAGATACTGGCATGTGGTTGTGGCACACACTTGCAAATACTGACATGATTGTCTCACCATCTCCCTACCTTGTCTACATTACTGATACCAAGACAATGCTGAAGCCTAATTAATTCTATATTGGTAAGATCCATAAAAAACAGATGACTGACAGTAATACTTCACAATTGAGGTCTTTGCGTTTACATCAAGGTCACCAAGTCTACCAAGGTCACCATGTCCCTAACCTCATCTACCACTGACATCCTATGCAGCAGTATTCCCAATATTAACTCACTTTAACTTGGCATTGTAGTGTTTACAATCTGTATCAATGATAATCTTAATGTGCTCAAGGCTTTTAAACACCATTCAAATATCTCCTGGGGCTCATGATTCCTGCTTCATCCACCAAGATAGCACGGACATTCGGCTTTGATCATTACACCATTATTCCCTAGTGTCTGATGTTAATACAGCGGTGTGTCTTCTACACAGCAATGGATGCTCAGAAGTGTATGGTGGTCATCTAATATCGGCCAGACAGGACTTGGCTTTTAAATACCATTCCCACAATAGACAACATGAACAATACATGCTTGTTGTTTACAAATACTAGATTTCACTGTACATCTGAACTCATTTCAAGAATTATATATAATTAAATCCATACAAAGTAATTGTGATCCTCTCATTGATCGCTTTGTGATTTCTTTCGAAGCACATAACTCAAAAGGGAAGTATCACAGGTTTTCTGTGTTTAATAAATGTGTACTGTGTTTAATAAATGTGTACTGTGTTTAATAAATGTGTACTGTATATAATAAATGTGTACTGTATTTAATAAATGTGTACTCTGTTTAATAAATGTGTACTGTGTTTAATAAATGTGTACTGTGTTGAATAAATGTGTACTGTATATAATAAATGTGTGCTGTATTTAATAAATGTGTACTGTGTTTAATAAATGTGTACTGTGTTGAATAAATGTGTACTGCCTTTAATAAGCAAGTACTGTGTTTAATAAATGTGTACTGTGTTTATTTAGGCTTGGCTTTCCCAAAAATGTATAGTTTTTCTAAACTTCAAATTCAAACAAATTCAAATTCTACTCAGCAAGTTGTTTTTTATTATTCCCCATTAAAGATGTAAAGAAGTTTCAAAAGGAAAAGAAATTGGTGTGACTTTCTTGTTTACCCTGAATGTCATCAGACTACCCTGCTCTGTGCCGGCCGACAATTGCTCAGTCTGATCAGCCAGTCAAAATCACAGTTAGTACTATAGTCAGAAAAAAAGTTTACATGATCACAGCTACATTAGCTGCTCTTTGCAATATTCCCACAATGTTGTTCTTGCTGCTGTTGTGTGTTCTTTAACACCCAATTTAGCAATATTCCAGCTATATGATGGCGGCCTGTAAAAAATCGATTGTGGACCAGACAATCCAGTGACAGATATTGAACGAACCGATACATGCCGTGCAATCAACCAAGTCACCCGATCCATTTGGTCACCTCTTGCACCCTGCATAGGTTGCCGGGGGCCTGTTCTAATCCCAGAATCCTCATGGGTCCTGCAGCATAACACTGGTGACACAAATTATGTGCTTCACATGATGTCACCATGTTGGGAATCAAACCCAGGTATTCATAGAGCAAATGCCTTACCAACTACCATGCCACTAACAGACAAAAGCAGCTTATGTGTATAGGAGTCATAAACTTTTCTCTTAAAGCTTGAGACTCCAGTTACATCTTAAACCACCTTCCCAACTAATGACACACACATATATATATATATATCTAAAATCCCAGCTCTCATCCAACTCCTTCCTAATGAGACATGCCACCATTGCTCTACCTGTACGAGACAGTATTGATTGTGTTGTACACCTTTATGTAATCACCAGAAGAAGTAAGTCGGATATTACAGATAGTGTGGGGAGGTCCAGCTGTGTGTACCTTGTAGCAGATTACTGCCAACTCGGAGATATTGGAATCCATGAACTAACAACAATCAATTTATAATTGATCACGGAAAGACTATTGAACGGGATCCTCTCCAAAGTAATTTCACGGAAGTGTTTGGGGCACAAATGTATTTTAAGAGATGGGTGGGATTGCATTAAAAAGTGCAGCTAATTGAAGTCCATCTTGAACTTGCAACAGCAGTGTCTTAGCTGACTGAGCACCTTACCTCCATCTACAGCGACAACAATATCAAGTGGAATAAAGGCAAGGGGTCTCAAGTACAATTCTACTGCATTAATGTCATAGTGATGTCACAACTTGACCCTTTCCTTTCATTATGATTGTAGTAAACCTGTTTCAAATGGCTCTTGATCCATAAATTAGGTTTTCAATATGGCTGACTTGGAAGCCATATTGGAATGTTGCATAATTTGAACATGATCCAGAGTTATGATGTTATGACAGCTATAGATCACATTTATGTGATATGAGTGTGTCTCTAAATGCAGTGGATCAGACATCGTGATATGTGTGACAGACTTACCTGGTTTTCTCTGTGAAGGTAGGAGAGTACTGGGAGACGCCCACGACTCCGGAATTTGGAGCTGCCGACCAACACTGGTGTAGCGGCACAGGCAGGAACATACAGCAGACTGGGATATGTATCACATAGCTGCAATATAAGAACATGTGTGACACAGCTCAGACATAAGACCATGAGTGACACAGCTGGGACATAAGACCATGTGTGTGACACAGCTTGGACATAAGATCATGCATCATACAGCTGGAACATAAGATCATGTATCACACAGCTGGAACATAAGATCATGTATCACACAGCTGGAACATAAGATCATGTATCACATAGCTGGAACATAAGATCATGTATCACACAGCTGGAACATAAGATCATGCATCATACAGCTGGAACATAAGATCATGTATCACACAGCTGGAACATAAGATACAGCTGGAACATAAGATAATGTATCACACAGCTGGAACATAAGATACAGCTGGAACATAAGATCATGTATCACACAGCTGGAACATAAGATCATGTATCACACAGCTGGAACATAACACTATGTATGTTACAATGTGTTACATTATATAATGTTACATTATACAGACAATGTCCCATCACTTACTTCATACTCCTTGTTGAGGCTTGTGAGGGACCAGTTCTCATTGGGCACCCCCATACGTAGGTACTCTGTCTGTATGTCATACAAATCCCAGCCATACGACTTTGTGGTGTTGTCCGACACCAGGAAGTGGAATGCATACAGTTTCTCTATGTTGGCTGCAAAACAAAATAAACTGTGTACCCAATCGGGTAAGAATCTACAGTCGACATTTAATCCTACAGGGAATGAAAGTTGTTTTACTCCAGTATTACAGCTGTGTCCAGCCAGCATGGAATCTGGGTCAGGAACAAAAGCTAGTGGTTGATAGCATGAGTAACAATCCACGCCATCTGTGTATATGACACACAATCAGCCAGGTCAACACTCACTGAAACCACACTATCGTTATCAGTCAACCCTTGAACCACATAATAAAAAGCTTATGAGACAATCACAGCAGTGGCAGATCCAGATTTTTTTGGGGGTGGGGGGTGGGGGGGAGCTACCCTTCCCATTATTGACATCTGATGACATTTATGTATGCACATTGCCTACCATGATAACAGGTTGATTTGATTGTTAAAGCATAATTGATAGTGGTTTACGTATCATGTTTTGATGTTTTGGGTAACACCCCCCACCCCCCGCATCTGTCCCTGCACAGGGCATCAAAAACAAACCATACCCTCAGTTGAACTTGTTGCCAAGAAAAAGCAAAAACAAAACAAGCATCTTCATTGTTAAAAAAAACCTGGCACCACATCAGCAATTTCCTGATCAGCACAATAAGTCCAATGAAGAATTATTGAATGGTTTGTAAGTTATTCTCTATACGCAGAAAGAAAATTATTTAATATTTACAAAGTTCCTGAATTGTAAAAGGCCCCTATCATTTTTGCCTGATAGGACTACAACGAGAAACACTGAGTGGTTCCTGAGTTATGGAAAGGAACCACACAACTTTTATTGGGAAGGGGACAAGAACAATGCAGCCACATTAGCAGTTGACCTGAGTGTAATTTGTCTTGACTACATGCTTTGGAATATTACAAACACTAGAAATGCTTTGTATATCTTTTAGAGTTTGATCTCTTAACAACCATACTCGAACTGAGAGAATGATATTCTCCTGACACCCAAATCACCAATGCAAATACATGTACTCCCTAATTCAAAACATACAATTTCTGCATGATGCTCATCTGGAAACATCCCTCAGCACAGACATGTCTTCAGGATACATTCTTTATTTTATTTATTTATTTATTTATTTATTCAACGTACTGAGGAGGCCACAGGCCTATAGTACAATCAAGATTACAGGAGCAATTGGTACAATCATATAATTTCCAAACTTGAATTTCTTTGTATAAAAGCATGATATATGTACATAGAAAGATTTCTTATGGTTTCAGTGTTGCTAGTGGTCAGCAATAGTTTAAACTTAAATGTACAATGGTTTATATGAAAATATTTTGGTAAATATACTTTTCTTAGTTTATCATAATGCGGACATACTAGTAAAAAGTGATACTCGTCCTCAATTAATCCTAGGTCACATAGTGGACAGAGTCTATTTTCTCTCAGAATATTTTGATATCTACCTTTTTCAATTAAAAGATCGTGTGATGAACATCGGAATCTTGCAAGTGCTACCCTAAATTTTCTAAGACCAACATTGAAAAGGTATTGCTCTGCATTGGTATATTACTTGAAACTGCTATATATAACAGGGACTTTGGTGAACGCGTTAGAGTTGCATTCCATGACTGAAAATATACATCTTTTAATCTTTGTGTTATAGCATTTATGAACAACTTTGGATAAGCAATATGTTCTAATTTAAAAATGTAACCAAAACCACAATTATTCAGCAGGTTCCTTAAGTCGGTAACCCAATATGTTTTGCCATTGCTATCATACAAACACATCATATTGTAACATTTCTTAGGGAATCTTGATGAGGGCATATAAGTAGTCTTCTCCAATATTTTATTATTTTCAGACGTGCTTCTATACACAAAGGGACTCGTCCACATTCACCATAAACCATCACGTTTGGGTATTCATTTTAACTCCTAATAATTTCTTACAAGCATATAAATGAACTTTTTCCAGAGCATCTACCGGTATTTGTGTAAATCCCCAAATTTCTGCCCCATATAAAAGAATGGGTTTAATTTTCATGTCAAATATTTTGATATATATTCTATAGTTTACAGCCCTAACATTTTTTAAACTACTGAACATGCCCAACAATACTTTCTTTCCCTGTACAGCAGCATTATTTCCATGTAAATTCCATGCCAACGTATTGGAAAAATACACACCTAAATATTTATAACCCTTAACTACTTCTAAACACTGACCTTTAAATAACCACTTTTCAAACCTTGATAATTTGCCACCTTTTTTGAAAACAACCATTTTTGTCTTATTTGTATTAATTTTCAAATTAAACTTATCACAATGAACTTTTAATTCTGCTATTTGTTTCTGCAAATCCTTTCACCGTACTTGAAAACATGATAATGTCATCAGCATATAACAGAAGGAAAAGCTTGACAATGTCTGGATGAAGTTGTATACCATCTGTACAGTTCTGATGAACAGCTGTAGCTAGTTCATTAATAAAGAAGACAAACAAAAATACATTCAGTGTGAAGCGACAAACAACAAGTAACATACCACAGGCATGACATGACCCACATTCATATGGACTTTTTCCTTGAAATAATCTAACAGCCAATTCCATTTGAGTCTATCAATCAGTGTTACAGACTTGGGCAGTCACACGTGACAGTCCTGGCCAGTGTCAGTGATGGCACATCGGTTATGTGTGATGTAGGAGGAGGCAGCAGCACACTGGAGAGCTACTCTGCCAGCTGCTCAGAGTATTGTAAGGATAACAGCAGCACGCAGCAAATGCTTTTTTAGAATACACCGAAAGCAAATACAATTGATTTACAATGGGACAGCATTAACCTGCATATCTTAGATTGAGCAGGAACTGATTTACACCTGCTCTGATCTCCTGGGCCTGTTTCACAAAGCAATAATAGCACTCCAACTGTCGTAAGTCAATAAAGTTACGACAGTCATAGTGCTACTGTCACCTTGAATCAGGGCCCTGGTCCCAACGAGGTGAGAGCATCAGGGATGAGATTCACATATGTGAGTGGGAAGTCCACTCAATCATGCATACTATCTGCCATGTTGATTTTTCTTTTAAGATCTTCACAATAGATGAACTTTAATTATAAAAGTCGTCATATTACATTTATGTTGATTAAATATACCAAAGTGACAGAACAACCAGACCAGTGACTGGCAATCTCCTGCAGGACTGTGACACACAACCAGACCAGAGACTGACAATCTCCTGCAGGATTGTGACACACAACCAGACCAGAGACTGACAATCTCCTGCCGGACTGTGACACACAACCAGACCAGAGACTGACAATCTCCTGCAGGATTGTGACACACAACCAGACCAGAGACTGACAATCTCCTGCAGGATTGTGACACACAACCAGACCAGAGACTGACAATCTCCTGCCGGACTGTGACACACAACCAGACCAGAGACTGACAATCTCCTGCAGGATTGTGACACACAACCAGACCAGTGACTGACAATCTCCTGCAGGATTGTGACACACAACCAGACCAGAGACTGGTAATCTCCTGCCGGACTGTGACACACAACCAGACCAGAGACTGACAATCTCCTGCCGGACTGTGACACACAACCAGACCAGAGACTGACAATCTCCTGCAGGATTGTGACACACAACCAGACCAGAGACTGACAATCTCCTGCCGGACTGTGACACACAACCAGACCAGAGACTGACAATCTCCTGCAGGATTGTGACACACAACCAGACCAGAGACTGACAATCTCCTGCAGGATTGTGACACACAACCAGACCAGAGACTGACAATCTCCTGCAGGATTGTGACACACAACCAGACCAGAGACTGACAATCTCCTGCCGGACTGTGACACACAACCAGACCAGAGACTGACAATCTCCTGCAGGATTGTGACACACAACCAGACCAGTGACTGACAATCTCCTGCAGGATTGTGACACACAACCAGACCAGTGACTGGTAATCTCCTGCCGGACTGTGACACACAACCAGACCAGAGACTGACAATCTCCTGCAGGATTGTGACACACAACCAGACCAGTGACTGGTAATCTCCTGCCGGACTGTGACACACAACCAGACCAGAGACTGACAATCTCCTGCAGGATTGTGACACACAACCAGACCAGTGACTGACAATCTCCTCCCGGACTGTGTTAACAGAACAGACTGACTGACTGACTGACCTGGCCTGGACAGCTCCTGAAGGGAAGTGAAGATATCGTGACAGTCTCGCTCACGGGGGATGACAAAGATGATGCACATGAAGTTCTTGCAGCGTATCTGGATAGGGGAGCCACCGGTGGTGATTGGCATCTTCTCCACAGTTCCCATGTGCATGTGTAGGATCTGCAACAGAAAACAATACTGTAGAATGATGTTCTCATGTGTAGGATCTACAACAGAATGCAATACTGTACAATGATGTTCTCATGTATAGGATCTGCAACAGAATGCAATACTGTACAATGATGTTCTCATGTGTAGGATCTACAACAGAAAACAATACTGTAGAGTGATGTTCTCATGTGTAGGATCTACAACAGAATGCAATACTGTAGAATGATGTTCTCATGTGTAGGATCTACAACAGAATGCAATACTGTACAATGATGTTCTCATGTATAGGATCTGCAACAGAATGCAATACTGTACAATGATGTTCTCATGTGTAGGATCTACAACAGAAAACAATACTGTAGAGTGATGTTCTCATGTGTAGGATCTACAACAGAATGCAATACTGTAGAATGATGTTCTCATGTGTAGGATCTACAACAGAATGCAATACTGTACAATGATGTTCTCATGTGTAGGATCTACAACAGAATGCAATACTGTAGAATGATGTTCTCATGTGTAGGATCTACAACAGAATGCAATACTGTACAATGATGTTCTCATGTGTAGGATCTACAACAGAATGCAATACTGTAGAGTGATGATCTCATGTGTAGGATCTACAACAGAATGCAATACTGTACAATGATGTTCTCATGTGTAGGATCTGCAACAGAATGCAATACTGTAGAGCGATGTTTTCATGTGTAGGATCTACAACAGAATGCAATACTGTAGAGCGATGTTTTCATGTGTAGGATCTACAACAGAATGCAATACTGTAGAGCGATGTTTTCATGTGTAGGATCTACAACGGAATGCAATTCTAAAGAATGATGTTCTCATGTCCTCTGAAGTATTGGTATATTTCCTGGCAAATGCACAGAATGTTGTAGGTGTTTTGAATGCTTAACCTGAGGACAAACACGCATCATAACAGATCTTAGAGTGATGTTTGTAAATACCTGAAGCATAAAACAAAATACTGAGATAAATTATTTCCTTGAAGAACACTACCCTTTCAGAACTGAAAATGTGTAAAGTTTGTCCTCAATAAAATACCTGCCAAGTCAATATAATGAAAATGAATGGTCCAGTGATGAGGTAGGAAATGACTTGTGACTGTTATAATGTTGTCAATGTGAAAAGACAAAATGTGCATCAAACGTTGATCCTCTGCACGGCTCGGGCAAACAAACTTGCCAGAAAAATCATTTTTCCTACATAACAATTTGACCTTGTTTATCTGACGAGGCAGTGCACCCTGATTCATTCAGACTGCAGCAGAGGAAAACATGCCTGACTTCTCCAGCAATAAATCCCAAGGGTACTTCCTTCAAAGATCAACAGTGACAATGTCCTTGGAAGCCAAAGACAAGAAGTCATTAATCTAGACTGCAGATTAATGTCTGTCTTAAGCTTTCTTATTTTTATGTTTCATCCTTTTTTTCGGACGGGACTATTTCTTAAAGTGTGTACTCCACATCTCTCGTGAACATGTTTCTTTACACTAATCTGAATTCAATAGTCATTTGAGGAGCTTCAATAAGGACAATTTAATTAATATTGTAAATTTATTTTCCATCACAATAAGAAGCAAATGGGAGGATGGAACCATCATAATCCTCGTCAGTTGTGATGCACTGCAGACTCCTGGAACTCAGGAAGGACACACAGGAGTACAGATGAAGCTGAGCATCATGGGAGAAGTAGGGACGTTAGAATCTGGACATCTAGATTCACCTCAGAATGTTGGAATCGATTCTACTCATTTGTGGATGGATAAATGCATTAAGACATTATTCAAATTTCAAATGTCTCTCACATAAATCTTATCTTGATATCACAGCAGGTTCTGCTAAGATAAGCTACAAAATAATGTCTGGAAAAACAATTTCAATGTTTGAATAATCAATTTTTCTCCTCTGAAGCAAATACTCATGATTAATCGTAAACGTCATTCTATTTTTATAATGGATGGAAAAGAATGATCACAGTAAAATCACCAAACAAATCATCTGTCACAATAAAACCCTTCCTTTCTGTCTTAATCTAATTTCTATATCCAACACACAGGCACAAGTGTTAGTCTTACAAAGAAACAGAATATCAATCATTTGTGACCTCATTGTTATGAATCCACAAGGTCATTCAAATTCACTAAAATATTGAAGAAATTTGAAAAATCAGATTGTCTGAAACAATTGGGTAATGTAAATGTCACACCAGATCCATCAAAACTATAAATTTGCACACATTGAAAGTGAATTTTCTCTTCTATCAGTGCTTAGAACATCAAAGAAAATTGTAACATGTATGATTCTGGCAGAAATCTACCGATCGCAACGTGTGCCTTCTTTCTGAGTCTAATGCTGATTGATAAGACACGCTGCAAGGCAGGCATCTTCGTCAATGTGAAAACACAACCCGAAAAAGAAATCACTTCCAGTTGGATACCATTTACGCCAATCAAACTTTCAAAGAAATCCATGGAAGACTAGCTTTACCGTTAAACGACCTAAAGAGAGTGTATTATCATTCCCAATTACCGTTGTGTAGTAAGTGGGAAATTGGCAACGATATTCCCTTTGGTTATCAGAAAGATCTGTGGTCAGCGTGTGCTGTATTGATGGAATGTAATTATGCTGTTTTCGGCTTTTGTTGAGCGTGATTAGCTTGTCTCTGTGTCTTTGTTGGAACGGGATAGCCCACTGATGAGTCGAAGCAAACCAACTACTTGTTCCATGCTACAACCGCCATTAAGATGGTATTGGAACAGTTGTGAGGAAGATGTAAGAAACACACAGAGAATGCTTCCATGAAGCCATAGTCATTATCAGAATTTTTGATAATGGTATATTTTCAGGAATATTTTTGTTTGGGTTGCAATTACACACCTTGTTGCCTTATAATACATACGATTGAGACGACATGACACAACATGATAAATGAACCCTTACAGCGGTAGAAACTAACAGTTTCAGTCCAGTAGTCCTTATTATGTTAACATATAGCAAAACCTTTACAAAATGGCCAATTTCTAATAGTCCTTATGACACCTTACTATTGGGCGGTTTGGCAAGGACTAAAGTACAAGTGCCAATTTCTAATAGTCCTTATGACACCTTACTATTGGGCAGTTTGGCAAGGACTATAGGACAAGTGCCAATTTCTAATGCTGCGGTAACAATTGGACAGGATAGGAGCCTTCAACTTGTTTTCAATAAAGGACTTTGTTTGTGTGTTTACAAATTCAGTGAAAGCACCATTAATATTCTGCAGTGCTTCTGAAAATGAAGTTGGCTCCTTGTTGACGTCCTTGACTTATTTCCAGCAAAGACATTAGGAAGCTGCATAAAGTTGTGACACTCTGTAACACAGACATATCTGAGAGATGTGGCCAAGTATTGATCCAGTCTTGTGTGGCATGGAAACGTTTAGGCCCTGGAAGAGGCTCCACTTCCTCACAGGACTTACACACTTCTACACAAGCGCAGATGCAATTTCGGGGTGATTCTAATGAGTGTGAATGTCAGGCTTGACGTACGATGGCATCGGGCATAGATAACTGACAGCCATTACGCATGATCAAGTTGAGCTTCATTCCACATCTATTTTAACAGGATTAACATTTCACTGCCCAAAGATATTGCAGATGTGACTTTCTATAATGATTTCAAAGATAATCCACGTCATGTCGACATTCATGATGTTTTCACATTTCAGGATGACTAGCATTTGTTGCCTGTATATTGTTATATTTGCTCAGCAGAACTGGTTATCAATTTTAGATAACTGTGATGCAAGACTTTCAAATCAATCTAAATACATCAGAAACTCCTCAAAACAAACAACATTTAAGTAAATGATGTTAATCGATGTATTCTGAGTGGTTTCCACTATTATATGATCCTGTGGCTGAGATGACGACTGACACAGATACATTATACTGCTGTACATGCTGTGCATCTTATGTTTGGGGTTTGTTCTTAATCCCCTGTGGCTGCTTACTTAGAACACTTAGGTACTCCTTTCTATTCTTAGGGAAGTTTTTTTAAGGGATGAGTTGGTGATGTTAACATAAATACAAAGGAGAAAATGGGGATTAATATCGTGTTCAAGAATATTGTACATGTATAGTGATGTGTGTTTGTGTCTGTGTGCGTTCGTGCGTTCATGCGTTCATGCGTTCATGCGTGTGTTCTTGCATGTGTTCTTGTCGTGATAAATGCCAGTTATATGATGCTAGCACACTGAGATACCATAGTGAGTGAGTGATTTGGGTTTAACGCCGCTTTTAACAGTATTCCAGTTATATCACGGCGTGTCAGCTGGATGTGGGAGTAAAGCCCGAAGTGATGCAGGTCTCAGACGTTTACCACCTTGGTAAAACCCACGAATATGGGTATGGTGCTGACAACCCAAGAAACATAATCGTGGCGAACCGGGATTCGAAACCACAATCATAGGTTTCTAGCATGCCCAAGAGACGCAATTCTGCACAGCGAATCGCGGCGCCTCAGACAACCCGTGCCACGCTGAGATACCATAACCCCAGTTTATCATGCATACCCCACTCAGACACAGTATACAGACTCCGAGACGACCAGTCCCTGTTTTATCCCCTCACTGCCAGGCAGGCATTATTATGTTGAAGATGAATATCATTTTTCACTTCTTTGTGATATTTATGATTTATTCAGATGTTTGTGTATTGTAATTATTCTGTATTCCCAAACATTCAGTGTTCTCCTAAAACTGAAACTAGCCACCAATCTCCATCATAATGCTATATTTCCTCACTCCACGGGATGGTTTTGTAACCTGGGCCTATGACCTATATTGCATGTCACTGTATCCCAATTGTGAAACTCAGTCCGATGAAGTTTCAATCTTAGAATTGGTCTTCAGCAACCAATACTTGTCTTAAGAGGCGCCAAACAATATTAAGTGGTTAGGCTCGCTGAGTTAGTTGATGCACATCATCGTATCCAAATTGAGTGGATCGA